CAACTACCCTTTATGACAAATACATTTCTTATTTTTTAAATTTATTTAAAATTGTTATTGTTTCAAATTGCATTTCTTTTCGATAAATCACACAGTACACTTTGTCATTTGACAAAATCTAAATCAAAAATAGCTTTATGAACGACACAGATCCAAAAGTAAATACGTGTAAACAAAAAACTAACAGAATAAAAACACACCTTCATTTATTTTTCTTTTAATAACAATAAGTCCTTAATGGGCGTGTTTTCCTTCTTAACTATACTATAAAAAAATATATCCAAATGTATTATATAACAATTTATGATATAAATAGATGAAGAAACATCTTACCGTGCTGATTATTGATTACAGTCTTGCGGAGGGCGTGCCAGGCTTATTTGGCACCTGTTGTCCTAAATATTTTTAGAGCCTGCTGTATTGAAAATCATCTATTTCTGCAAACGTTGACTTTCATTTTGAGTGAAACCAAGAGCAGAGAAAAGATGTGCGCCCAATTCTTTTTGCCAATCGATCAGACTGCGGATAGATCGATATGGCACCAGGGCTATTGATCACTACGGCCCTCTATTGCTGGGCGCTTTCAAATGCAAATGTGCCTAAATAATAATCTGTGGCAACACACTAATTCCTTAACAAACTGCAGGCAAACGTTTTACAAACACAGCGATTCAATGCGCAAGTGATTCTTTTTCTTTTCAACGTTTAGGCCTTTTAAATTTGGCCGCAGAGCTCTGGCTGTGAGACAAACAGTTTCAACAGTATGCAGCCGTTTAAAGATTTAACAGGACAAACAGGTAACACACAGAATGCAGGGTGACATTGATTTGGCCTGTAGCCTATTGAAACTGTTTGAAGGCAAAGCGATAAGTTAAAGGTCTAGTGACAATAATAAAAAAATTCACTTGACAACATCCCCCCCCCCAAAAAAAACAGAACAACAAAAAGTGATTAGTAAATGAGTAAATAGCAAATGATAGGCTAACTATGAACGTTTCCACAATATAGACTATTGGGCATCTAATATAATGGGGATAGGCGTGTAAATCACACACACACGGTTACTTAAAGTAGAACCATGGGCAAACAAAGCAGATGTTTCTTTTTACCCCTAATAAGGTCATATCTGTGTGTGTGTGTGTGTGTGTGTGTGTGTGTGTGTGTGTGTGTGTGTGTGTGTGTGTGTGTATGTGTATGTGTATGTGTGTGTGTGTGTGTGTGTGTGTGTGTGGGTGGGGTGGGGTGGGGGGGGGGGGGGGGGGGGGGGGGGGGGGGTGAGAGCAGCAGCGCCCGTCCCGCTGACTTGCTCAGAGGCCTGATCAATGCGACATTACTAAACACTGCTACTTAACTTTTGCCAATAGCCAGATTCAAGTAAATATACTTTAGAATACATTAAGCGTGATGCATCAGCCACGGAGTCATTCAAGAAGTCATGAAAAGATTAGTCTGTCTCTATCGAGTGATTCCTGAGAAAATAGACAAGCTTATACGGAGAGTTGGCAAACTCCAAATAGGCTACCTCTTATTAACACGCAGTGTTTCAGGTAAATAAAATTAAATAAAAAGAAAGTTTTGAGGGGAGTAAAAATTACATTTTGGGCGCCTGCCGCATTACAGTAATATGTAGGCCTACCTGTGTTAAATGAAGTAAAAATGTTTGAAACACATTAAATCTAAACATCAATTTAAATGGGCCTAATATTAATAATAATAATAGTATTATTAATAATAAATATTTACAATACAACATTTACAATATAGGGACATAATATAGCCGATTGAATGGTGTGTTTCTTACACTGACAGTCTCCAGCACTCAGACAAATGAAAAGCTCAGCTTAAACTTTTCAGCTGAGTGCTATGTGGTCATTTCCTGTAATGAAACTGCCTGTTGAGACAGGTCAAACACATAACAGGATAGACCTAACTTAAGCCATTTTAGCAAAATGCGTTTTTGGCTCTATCGATCCTTCAGAAATGCATTGAGTGAAGCTCCGGGTTCAGCATTGATTAGTTGATCAGCAAACGACAGCAGTGCTTAAAGATAAAAACAAAATGCTTTGGGCCTAATAAAAGACTGATTTTAAAACAAGCTATACTCAGTGACCAAAGTCTTATATAAAATATGAAAACTTTTGGACATAGGATTTTATAGGCCTATTAACAACAGAGAAATTAAAACACACACAAAAAAGACTTCTGCACACCGCAGTGTGTGTGTGTGTGTGTGTGTGTGTGTGTGTGTGTAAGTCGATGCCAACGTGGTGCTGAGGCCACCGCCTCGCCCGCTGTTAGTAATATGAAATAAATCACCGGGTTTCTGCGGCATCGCCCCAAACACACCGCAGATATCGACACAGTTAATATTTCATATTGTATTTGCCATAGGATATGCTTATTTAAGTATTCGAAAACAGTACATTAAAATACAAATTAAAACTAAGCTCTGGGCGGCCACATAGATTTTTTGGGGGGTAAAATAGCTGGATTTACTTTGCATTCAAATTTTATTTTGGCTTGCTGAATGAACGATCTGACCAGGCTGCATAAAAGAGAAGAAAACAACATTGATTGAAAAAAAGGGGGAAAGTACACTGATCAGTTCCCCACGCCCTGTTGACCCCGCTGTTGTATCTGCGTTTATCAGTGTGGAGTTAACATGGCGCAGTGGCGCCCATAAAAAGAAAGAGGGAGAAGGGGAGCTGATGTGAAGTTTACAAGTTCTTGGTGAACGTATAAAACTTTTCAGCGCGTTGTTTTGGGTTGTAAACCCTAGTGAATTAGGAGCAAGGAGCCAGCAATGAAAGTTAACATCCATCACCACCGCGACCAATAAGCTGCTCTGGCCGGCTGGCTGAGCACAGATGACGGATTCGCTGCTGTGCGGGCTTCGGTAATTCATTTTCGATAGCAGTGGTTGCTGGGATCAATACAGGGACATTAACCCAAGCGGACACTGCTGCCCTCCTGATGGCACAAGCCAAAGCCACCATCCCCCGTTGGCAATCAGCAAAGACACAGTTTTTAGGGTCATTATTTGGGGAGTGAGGAGCAGTGTGCCAAGGCCTCTGATATCACAATTCATCAGTGAAGTTATGGATGGTCTTGACCTCACAGTTGGTAAACACTGGTCAGGGAAATTATTTCATGCAATTTGCAAATGATTAGTGATGCCACTTCCTGGATTGTTAAACTATTTCCCCCCACCTCCGGGTCGAAATGCTAATGGACCCATTTTACATAACATCGGTGTAAATGCCAAGCTTCTCACTTGGTAACAGTGTTCACATTGTTTGCACAGCAACCGAAGGCCTGCTGAGGGGCTGCTGTGGCAAGAGACACACACATCACACTCACAACTTCATAACAGATGCACACTCCATAGCGTGTTCAGCATGTCTAAACATGTCACAGAGGTGTTGATGTTGTGATACCCCCCCCCCCCAGCATTCTCATGTGTCAGTACATCTCACCCTGTAGAAAGCTGCACATACACTTGCTGGCCATAGCAATTATATACAGTAATACCAAATAATAACCCTGCAATAAATACTACACGTTTGTAATGATCAGGTTTTGTTGTGACAAATAGGGACAAATTCGCATGAGGCATCCTCTATTAATACAATATCACCACAAACTACTGCTCGACTTATAGGTTTCAACATCACCAGTTTTAAAAAGCTGAATATTGGTTATATTGCGTTGGTGCTCATGACATTGCATCCAACCCATAATAGGAAGCAATACCTGGACTAAAGTTACATTTACACGGTGTTTATAGCCCAAGTAAAACACATTTTGATAACTTTAGTGCACTTTTACACACTCCTCAGTTTCCACCCAAAACGCGTGACTTATTCGTTAGCCCTTTACAAAATCCAATCCCTCGATCTTAACGCGCTGCTATATCGCATCCATATTGCGGGCTCCTGCAAAAGGCAGCACCCTATCGATGCATCTCCTGATCCATACATACTTTGACATTGATGGATTGCTGACCTGGATCGACGTCAGCGGGCAGTAAGTTTCGTACAGAAGTTTGGAAGGCACGAAACATTATGTGAGAGTTTATGTGAGGGGGTTTTGATTCTCGCGGCCTGAATCGGAGGAGCAAAGATGCGAAAGAGGTCAGAATACTAGATATGATGAAATTAAACTCGACCGATTTATTCAGAAACATTTGCCCATGGGGGAAAAAAAGTTATGAGTGAAAGTTTAACGGCAAGACATTGGACAGAAACATTTGATCGTTTACTTTTCAGATTGTAAAAAGAGGGACGCAAATGTAATTTCAGTTGGACGCTGGTTATCGTTTAAACGTATCAAAGGTCCACCACGCAGTCTGAAGCTGTGTCATCATGTTTTCAACTCTTTGTCATTTACATCTGTAAAAACAGTCACTCTTTCAGTGGGCCTATGCATCAATAAGCATCTTACATTCATGAATAAAAAAAATAAAGGCGGAGGCTGTGAGCTGTGGCCTCCACTTCATCGGTTAGTTGTGGTTTTCTCATTACACTCGAGGCCTGATGTGACACATGTCAATTAATATTTAACCTTCAAGAGAGGCATCACATGTGTAGCTGGCGCCTGTTTTATCAGAGAAAACAAGGAGCGAGCCATTCTTATCCATCTGAGTGTAAATGTTGCACACACTGCAAAGGATTGCAGGCCGGTGTTTTATCTTAACAAGTGTCTAATGCAATCTTTTTCAGGAATTTGATGTTCTCTGTGCAGCACGAACAACCCATGACATAGGGGCCAGTGACGTCAGGTTGGCCCCAGACAGGGTGCGCGAGTGCGAGGAAACACTACGGGAGCGCGCACATGCGCACAGGCACAGTCTCATCTTAACATGAGCACGGGCGCGTCAATATACACACAGAGAGCAGAGCAGCGCTTTGGGTATAGTAGAAGGTGCTCTACAGTGGAAGAAACCCAGGCAGGCGCACCTTCACACACACTGAGCAGAGGTTTGCGGTACAGTTTGTGTGGCGGCCGGGACCCGATCTTTTAAAACCATGCTGGATTGACTGCGGAGGGGCAACTACAATCAATGGCTTGGCTTTGAAATCGTTCAAAATTTATTGGAAAGGAGTGTGAGATAGAGCGACAGTGAGAGAGGGGAGAGCAGCGAGGGAGAGAGCGAGAGAGTGGCGAGAGGGGTGGAAATAAAGATCCTTTCAAAGATGGAGCTTACAATGGAAAACATTGGAAATCTGCACGGTGTATCTCACTCCCATCAAACGAGCGACTTAATGAACTCCCCACACGCGCGCCAGTCGTCGGCGTCGCATCGGAACTTGGTGTCGCACGGGCGGTCAGCCATGGTGTCCAGCATGGCCTCGATACTGGAGGGAGCAGGGGACTATCGCACAGACCACGCTTTGTCTGGCCCCCTGCATCCGGCAATGACCATGTCGTGCGACTCCGGGATGAGCCTGAGCAGCACTTACACCACGCTGACGCCGCTGCAGCACCTGCCCCCCATTTCCACCGTCTCGGAGAAATTTCACCATCCACACCCACATGCTCACCATCATCCGGCGCACCAGCGACTCGCAGCCGGGAATGTCAGCGGCAGCTTCACCCTGATGAGGGACGACCGAAGCCTCGCCTCCATGAGTAACCTCTATGGCCACTACCCCAAAGACATGTCCGGCATGGGGCAGCCTCTGTCCCCTCTGTCCAACGGTCTGGGGTCTTTGCACAGCTCCCAGCAGACTCTCAGCGCCTATGGTCCTGGAGCTCACCTCTCTAATGACAAGATGATCTCCTCGGGAGGTTTCGAGTCCCATGCAGCCATGCTGTCCCGGGGCGAGGAGCACCTGACCCGAGGTCTCGGTGGCCACGGGGCCGGGCTCATGACCTCCTTGAACGGCATACACCATCACAGCCATCCGCACTCTCAGGCAAACGGGTCCATGCTGTCAGACCGGGACAGGCAGACGGTGGTGGGAGGCGGGCAGGGAGCTGGGTCAGGGCAGGTGGAGGAGATAAACACTAAGGAGGTGGCACAGCGAATAACAGCAGAGCTCAAGCGCTACAGCATCCCCCAGGCCATCTTTGCTCAGAGGATCTTGTGCCGGTCCCAGGGAACTCTGTCTGACCTGCTGCGGAATCCTAAACCGTGGAGTAAACTCAAGTCTGGCCGGGAGACGTTCAGGAGGATGTGGAAGTGGCTCCAGGAGCCCGAGTTCCAGCGGATGTCGGCGCTCAGGCTTGCAGGTGAGTGAGGAGACAGCTCCCAACCTGAGTGATGTGGAGGGATCAATTAGAAGTCAATGTGGCGAGACTGCCAATAGCTGCTCAAACAGACATTACTAGAAGTTATTAGTCGATTGTATCGAGTAAAACTTCATCATGACAGTTGGGGTGTTAAATGTTGGGGGGAAATCTATATTTTGATTGATGCAACAATCCTTGATAGTGTAAACACATGCTGTGCTACACTGGATGTGTTATAAACAAAAGAGTGGAAGCCTCTCTCAAAAGCAGACACGGTGCAAACGCCGTCTGCACATATGTGTTTGTTCTTACGCACATTTAGAGGTTTTACGCACGGACACAGCATGGATACACACACCCCTGGCCCTCTGGATCACTCTCTTTCCCTCTCACACACACGCAAACCAACAACAACAACAACAACACAGAAACAGACCAAACAAAGGGAATCAAAGAGGGATGTGACCAATATGTATTAGAGCTTGCAGCAATTACTTTAAAGGTCAAACTAATCTACACTTTGAGATCACTAAAGCTCAAATACTCAGTATTACTACCCACTAGTCAAATAAGCGCGTGGTAGCAAACAAGGATCGTCTGAGAGTCGGGGGAGCATGACCTCCTATAGATCAATATTTCAGGTCCAGGCGTCCCATTTCAGAGTAGCACACTGATAAATGATCGATTTGGACCCGAAAGACTGAGACGCAGACAGATGCGTCTCTTCTCTGGTCTGTGTTGTCTCCTCTTCACTATATCGGATGATATCTCGTCTCCAAAGCTGGTCTAGGGCCTGTTTAGCCATTCTGAGGCTGAGCAATTGCGTCTTTTCAACACGTTTGAGGTTATACATCTAGTCTCTAGACAGAAAGGACCGGGGCAGCGCGCTTGTTCAGTAAGAGACAAAGTGTGACACAAACCGTTACTGCCTCTCCATTTTCTCAGTCTGCATGGTTCGTCCCTTTCGGCCATCGTTTGGATTTTTATTGCGCAAAGATTATCACTCTGGACGCTGTGATTTGAACCCACATCCCCGCCCTCCCCTTTAAATCCTTTAACACTTACCACCTGATTAACAGGACGTAAATGAAAACGAGAGACGTCGCAGTGGGGTTAAAACAAAGATGTGAGTAAGAGGTCCCCTCTCATTGATGTTTCTGTAAAGGCCCAGTTTAGACGCGCTGCGCTTCCAAGCGTCAATCAGCTCATCTGTGTCGTATTTCAGCGAACAGTTCAATTAAGCAGATATAGTGGCATATTTTAGTTCCAGTCAATGCCCTATTGAAAAGCACTTAATGGCATGTAAATTGTTCCTTTGCGCATTTAGTGGGGTTCTGGTAAATAAAGATTTAAACACTCCACAATTGTCTCTTTAAGTGCCACTGCTGTTAAAGCTAATTGGGCTGTGGGGTTTTATATCTTCCACAGCCGGCATCTGGATACCCCCCCCCCCCCCGCCAATCCAATTGACATGTTGGAGTGGCATAGTCCTGTCCAGCGCACACCTACTGCACATTTTAATGTGGTCAGGCCCAGGGCAGCCTAGGTAAGGTGTGCACTGGGTTGTACATTGGAAATTAGGGCTGCTCTAAATATGTTTTCTGTCTTGAATCAGCGGATTTCCAGCATTAATTGTGTATTGTGCATTAACCTGTTGTCACAGAAACATCCACTTGGGCAAAATGACAAACGACTTGTATGTAAATGCACGGAGCAACATTTTACTTATTGCATTTAAAATCACCATTATCCTCGGTGCGCATGTGAGCTGGGAGTGGGAGTTGGGGGGTTGTGATGCTGAAAGTGAGGCTGGGCCATACTCGCTCGGCCACATCAATCAATAAATTCAAATTACTATTCCAAATTCATCACAGTCACACAAATCAATACAGCTGCCCTGCTTAGCTAATGTGAAAATGCCAGTGTCTGCACATACACATGACAATCTACCCCTGAAACGAAAAACAGAGCAGAGATGGGCATGTTTGGGGCCGGCTCTGTGCCCTTCACGCTTAGCATTTCCTAATGCCACGAGGGCAATGACCCACAGGCTTTCCCACCTATTGTGTTCTCTATATGCAGACCCATAACACCCAGGCCCAGTAAACAGCCTCGTACCTTTGGCTTTCTTTTTATACTTTTTGCACTTTTTATATATTTCCGAGCATCTTAAAGCACTACTGTATAAATAACTATGCATCTTAATTGTAAAGCTGCACAAGTAAGAAAGACACCCGTAAAGTGAGGTTTGGGAGGCATTTAAAGATCGCATTAACGATGAAAACAATTCGTCTTTGCATCTGTGTTGAATTCCACACTCCATCTCAATGTATTTGGTTGGGTCAATACAACCCTGATCGATAAGGATAGCCAGTGCATCTATCAATTATCCCGCCTCAGCACTCTCTCCCATTGGTCTCTCCCCCGGAGCTGAGGGGGGAGGGGTGCACCGGGAAAGGGGGGCAATGGGACAGCTGTTATTTAAAAAAAGCCATTGCACACCTTTTCTCTTCTGTAATCATGCTCCATTTGCTGTGCGTAATGCACTGTCACTCTTCTGTCCTATGGGGTTTGGGTTATGCAGTCATTCGGTTAGTATTTACGCCTGATACGTCTTTCCAGACAGATGCTGGACACCATAGAAAATATTCAATCACCAAACGTCCGGTAGCCTATATCCTCATATTTGGCGCGTTGTATTTTGCAGCAACATGAAGCGTGCTCCTGTTTCTCACTGTGGCACCAGCTACCATCTCCTACGTCTTCATTCTCTCGTGTGACAGTGATGAGGTGCCGTGGCATCCCTCAAAAAAAAAAGCGCAGTTGGTTTATTACCATTTGAATGGCCGGAGCACGTGCCATGGAGCACAGGTCAAGACCCACAGGACACAGAGGGAAAACATTGTTGAGAATGAGGGTGAAAAGGCCTCTATTCATGTTTCAATTGACTACAGGCAGTTTACACAGGCATAATCCTGGAGCAATACTCCTCCCCATTCACCGCCCCCCTCACACTGCGCCCTTTCCCCTCGGCGCGTGCATCACTGCAATGCCTATATTCATTTTCCTGGGTATATACTTTTTTCTTGAGTTGACCAGCTCCCTTCCTTACAGGCTATGCCTTTAAATTCTTATTTATTTGCATCAAGCTAACAAATGTGGAACATTGTTAAGAAATACGCCATTCATTATTGGTCCTCTGAAAATTAATTGATTAATCTAGGTATGCACGTTACCTAAGGAAGGTTACAAAGGGCTTTTTTTATGTTCCCTCTACAAAGCATTTAGTACGAAGAAGCGCATGTTAGTTCATTCCTGTGGGTCAGTTTCACGGAGCTGTCCAGAGTGCTGAAATGTGCGTACATCCACACACTTCTCTTTGTTTTGAGGACAGTTCAAGGTGGTGAACAGGAGCTTTCCCAATACATAGTTGCTAGCATTCTTGTAGGCCCTAAACACCATTATTTCATCCAACAGCTTCCACCCATCGATCAATATTACAATCCTCAATCGCGTCAATCACATCACCCTGCACCCTACTTTCCAGTCCAGCACGAAGCCAACCGGGGGTTCCATTTAAATTACACCTCTAGATTTTTTTTGTGGGAGCTGCTGAATTCAATCCGGAGCTCGTCTTTATTTTGGGATACTCACCAAAAGTATCCAAGAGCAATAAAAATAGTCAGAAGTGGGTTCTTTTTTTTGGTCATTTAAACCAGGATAATGGGTTTACTTGGATTGGGCATTAAGATGTGATTGATGCGTGTTAATCTTAAACAGTTTTTTTCCCCCTCCATGAAGAGATGGCTTGATGTTAGCCTGCGAAATGATCGATTGGTAGTTTAATAATTGATGTGTGAGGGGAAGATAGGGGGGTAAACAGTGCAGCTGCGGTTTCAGAGCCTCGTTGTTCGTTAAGCACAGCAACGTGTGCTGTAAGTACTGAGACACGCATGTACAAGCATCGCCTTTGAAATTCTCTGGTGGGAGAGCAACAGTCCTTTTCTTGAGGTTATAGCTCGAGGCTATTTTGTTTAAATCCCGGGTTCAGTGCAGCTCATTCTAGATGTAATGACATCTCACGCACCATCATTATCCGAAAGCCGCTAATGAAGAGGTTGGCTGTATGTGGTGGAGGGTAAAGTCAATTAATTCAGCTTTACATTTGCATACATATTCATGTTGTAGGCTGATATGAATATTCATAAATGGATGCATTATGGGACGTTGTAGCCTATGAGGAAAAACACCTACACATACACCCTAAATTGTGTTTTTTTTTTTTTTTTATCTAGATGACCTCAACTAGAGGCCGCAGTTCCAGTAAAGTTCTTATTTATAACTGCGTGTCTGCATAACACAGGACAATATCATAGCAGCAGCTACAGCCTGCATACGTGTCGCGTCTCTCCTGTGTGTATGTGATCGGGATGTAGAGTGCGTCTGCGCCACATTGTTAAGGCCGATCTGGCGAGCCCTGGATCTGTATCGATTTCCATTCCCCCGGCCTCTGCTTTCCATCTCTGGAGCTGCGCCATGCAGCCATGCAACCCCCTCCATCTCCACCATGCAACACCATTTCTCCCATTAACAACTCACCCTTCATAACACACAACAGAATGACTAATAAACGCGTGCTCTCACGCTGACTCGTTGCACACCTCGCCGCATGCTCCGGTCAAAACAGGCAAACAGCTGAACAGCTAAAATTGGAGAGGTTTTATGATTGCGTTCTATTTCTGTGAAGGAGACGGATTAGCAGCATGAGACGACTCAAAGTTCACAGACGGTTAACCTCTTTTCCTTCATTATACTTCCCACCCACACTCTGCCGCCCTGCACATGCTGTTCTGACCAAGTCGACCTTAATATTCAAAATAATGTAATTTTAATAGAAATCAAATTAGCGACAGAAGCAGGAGCCTGCACTGTATCCCACGTCTTCAACCATTTCTCTCTTAACCCCCCCCCCCAACACACACATAACTCGTTCCAATT